TAGCAACTTGTTGTGCTTGCAACATCTCAAAAATCACTTGTAGACTAACTTCTCTTTCTCCTTGAGCCTGTGTCCTTTGAGCGTCAGGTTGATCCCCTCCGCGTACACTTCCTTCGACATCATTGTCCAAATCGATGTTCACGGCAATGTGTGAACCAGCATCGACAGGGTTTGGCGCTGGTGCTACCCCAGGGTTTAGCGGTGGCACACCGATCCCTATAGTTGTTGCATTGTTTTCTCCATGGGATCCGAGGGCATTGTTTCCATGCACGGGTACATCTGCTGAGCTAGACATATCTTAGACTGAAATCAAAGAATCTTTGACAAGAAAAAGTGTGAAGAATAACGTGTGTTATCAGAAAACTAGCACTAAAATAATCACTATTATCTTTAGCCCCACGGTGGGCGTCAAACTGTTTACCTCGAAAAATGTGAGTAACAATTAAATGTGATTTCTGGTTTTAAAGATATGTGATTTATTCCAATACTAATACACAAGTAATATTAGGTTTAAGTAAGAAGAATTGATGAGCCAAACCAGTGTTGTTAGAGCAACGGGGACCTCGAGCTCGATTATCTCGGGAGCCTCGAGGTGAGTTAAGAGCAAATAAAGTATGAATAATAAAGTAAAAACAATAAAGCTGAAGAACAATTGTGGAGCACAGTAAACGAGAAAAGCAGAGTAGAATGTTCTATTGCAGTGAATGAGATATGTCTTTACAAAATGATTGGGGTCCCCTTTATATAGGAGGGGAAAACCCTAATGTGGCACATTCCCAATTATGGTAAAGAATTCTATTGGTACAGCTGTATAACAACCTAGTACGGACTCGTACTATTTTGTACAAATCTTATCCCATAATTTATGCCCTGATCCACGTGTCCTTGAGAAATTCCCGCTTTTTCTTGAGTGTCATCGAAATTGTACTGCCCTCGAGGTAGATCATGACGGGTCTCCGATTTGCTCCCTCGAGGTATGCATTTTCCAGTCAGATCTGGTCTTTACTTCGTGTTGCCCGAACTCGAGCCCGGGGTACCATTAAGTCCTCGAAATCGAGCTCTCCGATTTCGACCGTATACACACCATATTTATTTTAGTTCAGTATTTTTGATGCATCGTATAAATTTAAGTGAAAATTTTATTAAAGTTACAAGAAATAGTATATATGAACCCATAACTTTAAAAATATAATATATTTGAATCTATAAAGTTTAAATTTTAGAACCGCCTTTAATATTGTAAAATTCCCCATAAAAATCATATCCCAAGAAACTTCCCGAATGTAAAATGAGTACCCACCTTTCCTGCATCAAAACAGCAAAAATTCTGGCATGCATGCAGGCAACACAAACATGAATAATGCTTGTGCTTCCAGAAAGTAGAAAAAGAAATAAGTTGTTAGTTGGAGTTGGACAGAATTATCCGATACATATAATGATGGAAAGTAACATATTCGATGCAATAGTTGAAATATACGGAAGTTGTTTTGGACACCACTATTATTTTATAATTGTATGTTCTAGCCGGATTATGCGCACCTCGACTAATTCCACAAGTAGAGGTGGAGTTAGGTGGACGGAAAGGGGTACAGCCAAACTCCCTTCGCCGAAAATTACATTGTAGATATAAGATTAAATTTATATATATGTATATGTGTGTGTGTGTGTGTTGAATCCCCTTAGCTTTTTTGCATGTTTAATTTTTTTATTTTTTGAATCCTCTTGGTAAAAATTCTGCTTCCGCCACTGTCCACTGGATACCAACTACCTCCAATCATCACAAATATCGGATAACTCTATCCACCAATGCTTGGATAGATAACAAGAAATCGCCTAATAGATTTTCCCGTACCGAAAATTAAGTGTGAGATTTTATGATTTTCAACTTATTCAATTGATATATATATATATATATATATATATATATATATATATGTATGTATGTATATATATGTATGTATTGTTTACCTTTGTGTATGGCATCTTATCATTTACAAAAGAGGTTCAAACAGTGCTAAGACAGCCAAATCAAAAGAAGATTATGTTTGTTAGTTGTTTTCTTATCTTTCACTGCTTTCTTCCTATTAGTTCTATTTTAATAATCAAAAGGGAGATATTGGTGTCTAATCTTACCTTTCCAATCCTGTCTCTTTTGGCCAAAAGCAAAATTACATTTGCCTATCAGACAAAAAAAATTACTAACTTTTTTTACTCTTGATCAAAATTATTATTAGTATGACTCCAAATTAAATATAATATTGCATGTTGATCCCATATGTTTAACTTTAAACCAACATTATCAGTGAAAAAAGAAGAACTTGACCCTTCAAAGTAAATGCAAACAGAAGTCATTTACATTTAAAAACATCAAACTTAAGTATTAGCAACCAAAGAATGTGCTTATCCACTACCATATAAGAATCTTACAACGAAAAGAATGACAAAAATTCTAACTAAGCAGTGTTTTAGTAAGAATAACTGAGCATATTATTAAAGAATAATTGAGCATATTATTAGAGAAAAGCCTCAAATTTAGGAAAAAATGACACTGTATAGCCGCTCTCAAAATAATAGCTAAAAACGTATATTTTGTGTGTGTATATATATATTATGTATGCTATATACAAAAATTATACGAATTTTATACTTTTTTCGGCAACCAAATATAAATAATTTCTGAAGTAGGCTAAAAGTAAATAAAAGCCCTCAATTTTACCCTTATACTATCTGAAATAGCAACTCTAACTTCTGATAGATTTTTGGTCTAATATTACCTCGCAATTATTAAAAAATCTCAATTTTGCCCTTGACTCCTAGTACCGATTCAAATTTTTTTTTTTCAAGAATCCACCATTAATAACACTTCAATTTAAGGATAATTTTAAACAGTAATTAATAGTTGAGCAATAAATTTGGACCTTTTTCTCGAAAAATCACATATAGTCTAACTCATTTCACATTAACCACTGTCAATGGTAAGGGTAAGTACGAGACGATTTGATAATAATAAGGGTATGAATGTATCAAAAATGTGATCGAGCGCAATATTAGCAATTTCTTATCGTACATGGCAAATCTAAACCTTTTCCCTTAAATTTAATATGTCACAGCTGGCTAACTGATTGCCTAATTTTTAACACATGAATCTATGTATTTAAATTGATTGGATGTATGCTACACCTGCAATAAACAATATAATTGGAATAAATTGTGTTGTACATACTATTGATTAATCGTTCAGTACTAATCTGTAATGACCTGGCACATGATATATATTATTGGACCAAGCAATTTGTAAATATATACAATAAAAAAATTGTATAGTGTAGAATTTATTCATACCCAGTGTTTAATTACACCAAACCAATAAATGCAAAACATATGTCTTGCATATATATTGTTATTACTTAATCATAGCTAAATGATATATATTGTCGCGTAATTTTTCACTCTAAAATTAAATCACTTTATTTGGTATAAACACGCGATGCGAGTAAATATTTACCTACTTTATAACATCCAAAGAACATGCAGGAATGGATCTGATCTTATAAAGTCGATCAAGTCAGCTGAAACAAGAAAAAACAATATAGTATTTCCGCATTGTTTCTTGAGCCGAGGGTCTATCGAAAATATTTTTTCTATCTTTATAAGGTAGGGGTAAGATCTGCGTACACACTACCCTCTCCAGAACTCATTTATGGAATTACATCGGGTTTTTTTTTTTTTTTTTTTTTTGTATTGCTACATTGTTATCTTTGTCATTAATGTGGAGAAAAGATCCTTAAAAAATTCTTGTAATGTTTTTTTAGAATTGTGGTATCCGTGCCAGTTTAATTCTGAGACTTCATGATTCTCTACTCACTTCATTAACCACTAAGTCATACCCTTAAGTGTTTTTCTTGCAGCAGTAGTTATTTCTTTTTCCTCAAATAATATAGCGGTAAGGTTTGCGTAGATCTCACCTTCCTCAGGCTCCACTTGTAAGATTACACTGGTATATTATTGCGTTATTGTTGTTGTTGTTGTTGTTATAGTGTTTATTTCTTGTGCAATATTTTAAATTGTGTTTCCTGCAAATTTTCTGTTGTAGTGGTTAAAATGGCTGGCAAAGCACTGGTCTGACATCTATGCATGCACATACAAAATGCTTTACCTAATTTAAATAAATGGCTTTAAAATTTGCATAGACTTAGTTGGTTGGGAAGGTTCCATATGAGAAGGAAATGCCAAAAATGTGGTCCATCTTACATTCAAATAGAAGGAAAATATTGTTCATTAAATTTACAAGCTATGCAGTGAAATGATGCTAGAAATTTTGTATTAATAATAATCCATAAAAAGGGATCAAGTTAGGTAAAAAGGAAAAGCATTTCCTCCTAATTATGTTAGAGTTTTGATCTAAAATTTCAATTCTTCCTTGTTTCAGCAGTAACATATTCTTCTATGGAGCTAAGGACCAAAATATGAAAGAAACAAGCGTTTCCACGAATCTACCACCCAGTCGATTCTGTTCAACTTAATTCCTCTTTCATGCCCATATATCTTTCCGGCTAAGGAATGGAAAATCTTGCTCCTATTACATGAATCCAATTTTCATTTATATAATGTAATGCATAAGCAATGCAATTTGCAGAGTATTAAGACCTCAGATTAAATTATGTAAGCCAACACTCTATGTTTTAAGAACCATAATATAATTTACCATATGGTTTCTTAATGAAATTCTTTAAAGGAGGCGCCATATAATAACAAAGATCTAGAAATAGAAAAATACAAGAAGTGCCAATACTACCGGTGAGAATGACACACCGTGTACCAACAAGGAACTAAGAATAGTAAATTAAAACTAGTACTAATATTGCTGGTGAGACTAGGAGAAAATCTCGACTACCTGTCAACCCACAAGACAAATACTAGAAAAGGACACAAATATGTGACTCAAGTTAAGCAACTAAGTTTAAAAGGAGGCATGTCTACTCTTAAAATAGGCAAAAAGGTAAAGGTTGAAAACTTGTAAATTTTGCTGATCTATATGTACAGGTAGGGGTCGATGCCAAACACATAACACATCAATAACCAGAGAAGTCACAAACTGAAATATCTGGTAGACTACACAATAAGAAACAGATCTAGTGAAAGAGAGCTCATCAGCCGTGGCGGAGTCACCTCTCGCCGAAAAATTACACTGTAAATCATAATGAATACCTCATTTCCAACATACATAAACAACTAATTAAAGAAAAGCAAGTATAAACACCATCAGAATTCCAGGTTAAATTTCCCTGAAATTTACCATGCAGTAATAAAATCAAAATCTGCATCTGTAAAAACTGTGTATGACCCTATGTGTATCTTCCCACAGCTTTATTGAACCGCAACAATTTCTCTTCATCTCCAAAAAAGAAAAATAGTGTTGATGAGTTGAAATTTTTGACAGATGCAGTTCAAGAAAGCTGTGGAAAAGTACAAAAAGAGTCATTTGTATACCACCTTAAGGCAGTCCGATGCACGAAATATCCCGCATTTACATAGGATCCGAGGAAGAGTCATACTCAGTGACTGATTCAACGGCCCGAATGCATGGCCTATATGTTACACGAAGACAACTTTACTGTTGCTTCACGGCTCCTCCAAAATAATAAAATAAAAAACAAAAAACCTCTATAGCTGCAACCCCATTAACCCTAAATAGGGTTTCTTGAGAAAATAAAGAGAGAAAATCTCTTCTTTTTTAAAGGGAAGTGTTGAGAGAAGAGAAGAATGGGCAGTATTTATAGGAAGAATTGAGGGTCTTTCCACCACCGATCCCAAGAAAGAATATTGGGTCTACAAGAAACTGAACAACCCTACTTTTTCTATACCTACTTAAAAGCAGACTTCATTTGATCCCATTAATAAATTTAAGAAAAAATATACACCCACAGTATTTATTTGTACTAAAGTATTCTAACTCAAAATTACCTATAAAAAATATTCATTCTATCGTATTTTATTATTTAAAAATAATTTAACTTTAAATTAAACCTTTTATTTTATCTGCAATGAGATGATTTATATCCGCATAATATTTGTGCTTTATTTTACACCACATGTTTCACAAGTATTTCTAGGAAATTTACTTTTTATTTATTAACTTCCATGTACAATCAAAATAACGCCATATAAATTATGATGGAGAGAGTAGGAGTTTAAGTTCTATCCACAGTGGGATTCTTTGGTTCACGGGATAAGGGATAATAAGTTCGAGATAAAATATAAAAAGCTAATCTCGTGTTTCATTGAATTTTTGTTTCGCTATTGTACCCATAAGATTAGTTATATCACAATTTTGATAGTAATTATAAAACCAAACACATATTATACCCAATATATCCTATTTTTACTCGTATGATCAAAATATCTATCAAATTTAAAAATTATATTTACTTCATAATCCTGTTATTATATAATCTTTTTATTATAATCCTAATATAACTTGTTTGCAAATCAAACGAATACTATATATATATATA